AACTTATTAACTAACAATACAACAATATTTAATAATACAATAATCTTCTTCTTCATCTTCAAAAATATAGTACAGTTAGGTAATGTTATAAACTTCTTACTAACAACTAACAATACCACAATATTTAATAATACAATAATCTTCTTTTTCATCTTCAAAAATATAGTAGTATTAGGGGTAATATTATAAACTTCCTAACTAACTAACTAACTAACCACAACGATCAAGAAGAATAAAATATCGATAAGTCTGCTTCTGTCTTTTTCTTCATTTTTTCAAATACTCTATCTGTAACCTATTGTAATATATAATATCATTCAATAGATTTAGATATACCCAATTAGAAAATAAATACAAAAGGGAGAGGAAGAAAAAAAGGAAAAAAACAAGTTGAAATAAATAAAAATAAAATAAGTCGGTATCCGGTGGTGAAGGAAGAATGGGCAAGAGTATGAGGGGTTGGAAGGAGAGTGGGGGTCTTGCTGTCTTCCGGTTTTTCCGTCAATATTTCATTCTTTTTCCTAAAAAAAATCGTCAGTAACGAGCGCTCACCGGTGGTGGTAAAGAAGAGGAGGGGTAAGAGAGGGAGAGTTAAGGGGAAACAGGGGGCAGGAGGAGAGGGGAGACCCCTCGAGCACTTTCAACACGCTTACTGCCGCCGGGAAAACTATTGACCGTGGGAACCTTCTGGGAACTCTACCCTCGCCATATGCTCACCGTAGGAAATATCTTAGGGACTCTCTCAACGAAATCCTACCGTTCCTCTCTCTCTCTCTTTTTTTTTTTTTTTTCGTATCCTCAAACGACTATTTGTCACTGTGTATGAAGTGTGCGCGCGCGCGCAGATCCCCTACCCACGAAACTTCACCCTTTTTTTTCTATTCTTTTATATGTTTTTGTTGTATTTTTATTATTTTTTTGTTTTGTTTCTTTTTTTTCTCTTTTTATCTCGGTTGTTTCTCGCGCCGAAGAGAAAGAAACTGTTCGATCCGCGAAGACACGACTTCCGGTCCAAGATGGCGCCGAAATCTTTCTCTCCTTGTTCTTCAACTTGGCTACAAATAAATGGTTTTCTCTCTCTCTTCTTTTTTCTTTTTTTCTTTGTAATTTATGTTAATGACTTTTTTAAGAATGAACAAAAAAGATATTTCTAATATTAATTCCTAATCACACTAAAAATCATAAGCACGCACGAATATATACACCACCCTATATATAAAATCTTGCAATAGTTTTATGTAGAGAAAAATTAAGAACATTCGGTTGGCTGGCCAGCTTTCACGAGACTTTGATAATATATGTTACAGACAAAGTCTGGTACTTTAATGGGCCCGCTAGATAATTTAGAAATCTCCTCGTTCATTAGGAAGTATTTTTTTTTTTTCTGCATCACGATTGATTAAGTTTAGTCCAGTTTACCGTGTAATATCTAACAGCAAGATAAACACCAACCCAACACACACTCCTTTCAATCCTTTATTTTCATATCTTACCATTAAATCTATCCAGACATAGATTAGAAATCGTAATAGAAAATATATATATATATATTAAAATTAGATACGCATTATAGTTGTTGTTGTTTTTTCATTCTTCCTTAAGTCAAATCTTTGATATGACTTTAGCAAAAAAAGAAATGAAAAAAAAAAAACATTTTCAAAGTACTCGATTTATTCTGATGATTGCCTTTTAACTCCTCCTATGTCCGCACCCGTTACGGTGAAAGCAAAAACTTAACTGAAGTTAGAGAGAGAACCAGGGGGGCAAATTGATTTCCAACGACTAGTTGGAATGATGTAATCACGGTTCATGGATCTCCATGAGTTAACTTTGCGATAAAGACTTTTATATTATATATGCTTTATTTCTGACTTGAATAAAATAAAACTCAGGAGGCACAACTTATATAAAAAAAAAAAAAAAACAAAAAAAATAAAACGTTAAACGAACAAATAGAGATCTTTGTATCCCATTAATTATCATCAATCAAGATATTTGTCTCTTCCGAATTATTATTTTGTAGTATTCAATTTCAATCCCGTTATTTTAAAAACTAACGTAGTACCTACGTCATATACATATATCCTCATTTGAGGTTAACATTCGATCGATATCACGAATTTCAACATAAAGATTTTACTCAAACGTAGAAAAAGGAATTTAAAAAAACGGTTAAGTTAAGCGGTGTGTGTGTTAACGCAAAAATAAAAGAAACGGGTTATCTCGAAATATTTGAACGATTTCGTAAACAGGAAGAGGAAGAGGTTCTAGTAAAAAAAAAAAAGAAAAGGGAGGAAGTTTAGAGAGACTACAACCCTACCATAGGCTGACAAATGCGCATGCGCAAAAGAAAGAAAGAGAGAACACGACGTCTGCAGGGTGCAAACGTTGTATTCTCTCTCTCTTTCTTTCACACACATACATATACACACAGCTTATACATATATGGATAATATATATATATATATATATATTTCTATACACGCAAATATCGAAGTTCTCTATGTGAGGAG